CAGTCCACCCTCCCACTGCTACTGACCACTTTGCCCCAGCCCATACCACCCCACGCAGGTCCAGGGGCAACCCCCCGTGCCCTCCTGGGGTGCATGCAGCAGTAGAAGCAGACCCTCCCCACTGCTGCCCCCTGAATTTCAGCTGTCCTGCACCCCACTCAGCAGCGCCTACCCCAGCCCCATCCCTCCCTCACCACGGAGGCCTTGATCTGCACCCCCTAACACTCATTCTCTCCCTTCTCCCTTTCCACCACAACAGACTTGCTAGCTGCATGCAGCTCTCCAAACTGCCAGGCTGCGCTCCTTGCCACCTACGTGCTGTGCTGTGGCTACACGCATGCACAGGCCATTTATCGGCCAAATTATCGGCCACATCAGGCTGATTTCCAGTGCAGTCAATTTTCTTTATATTGGTGCCGATCTGATATTGGACTGATGTATCAGTGCACCTCTAGCCCCTTTCGAGCCTCCTACAAGGCTCTATTTTTTTTAGTGGGAATGATAATTTGGCAGCCTATGTCTACACTGGCAATCACTGAACTGCAGAAGACTAATATGGATGCTTGGTGGCTGAGATGCATACAGCTTTCCATGGTCAGTCATGCAGCACTAAGTAAAGTAACATGAATTGCTCTTCAACTTACCTCTTAGTAACAGCTGTGGGATGGGAAGTGTCAATGCTTGTTTAGAAATCTGAATGGGAGAGAAGGCAATACAAAGCAATGTTCATTTAAAATTTCCTGCAGCACACATGTGTAGTGCTAAATAAGCTTAGTGGTATGATGCTGTAACTATGATGCCAAGCGTAATTAATCTTTACAGGAGGAAACTGGATTTACCTCTTCAATTACAGGATTAGGAATAGGATGTGTAACCAGAGTAGAAAAGCTGCTCCTGGTTCAGCTGTATTGGTACACCACTTGTGGTCAAGAGCAAGGGATATCTCTAGCAACAGAAATAACACAGCCGGTTTGTTCTGGCCAATAAACCAGTTTAAGCAGTAATGTTGAGGTGGAATATTAACTGAAATGAAGGATCTTTGTGGAATATTAACTGAAATGAAGGATCTTTATACCGCTGGTCACTTCCTGGTTTTACTCCTTCCAACCAAGCAGTGTTGTTGGGACACTGAGACATGATGCACAGGAGTGAAGAGGGGGTTATTGATGTAACATGGATACACAACCTTAAGTTAGATCGTTTTAAGCAGTATCAAGGGGAGCTGTCAGCATTTACACCTACCAAAACTCGGATGCAAGTAGCCAGTTTGCCATTTTCTCAGACCATTTTTTAAGAACTTGCCCTTGTGTTTGTATCCATTTCCTTTAAGGCCAGAATCTATAAAGGGAAAAGTCCTTCCCTTTCTGCCGGGAGGAGGAAACGTGGGTGCAGCCTTGCAGAACATACATAGGGGCTGCAGCAAGGTGGCTAGCAGTCAGGCCAGTGCAAAAGGAAAGGCTAAGCCAAGGTAAGGTTATGCCCCTAAGTTTGTAAGACTAAGCCTATACCTCCCCCATGGCAGAGGAGTTGCCCCATGTTAAGGGGAAGGTATGGGGGGCAGGGCAGAGGTACAAGGCTTGCATGTTATGTGGGAAGAATTCATATATTGCTCTGCCTCCAGGTCTTGGCTTTGTGCTCAAAAGACCGTTCTCTTAAGAGACCACCTGCTTTAGGCTATGCTCCACCACATGGAGAAGTAGTTAATAGGGAACATAAAGCCAAGAAGCTGAAGAAAGCATTTATAACAAGACATTTATTGAGCTGCAAGTCTTCATCCCGCACAAGAATCTGCAGCCACCCCACACAGGACTCACAGTATCCTGGTTGTACCACTAGCTCCTCCGCCACAGCTGGGTCTCCACAGATGTAATAACTGGTCCATCTCCCACCTTCTGAGCCCCACTACGCACTCAGATCCAAAACAAGGTCTGGACTGGTGGACACCATGAAAAGATAAACTCGGCGTGATATGTCTGGTCCAATCCGCCGTTCTCTCCCACCATCCTCTGGCTTTACCTGGATGTCACTCAGCAGGTGAAGTCTGTCATTCTCTGTGCTGCACTCTTCATAGGCCTTATAGGAAACAGGAAGCCACATTGGTGTAAATACCAGCCCCCTAAAACTCAGTTATCATTGCAGCCAAATCCACCTGTGGTGAAAAGCAGCTGTGTCTTTGGCCATGCACACAGCATTCAGAGGATAATGTTAGAACTAGTCATGTTCACACACAACCCCTGCTCCCACCCCCAACATAGGGAGATGCATGTCATCATCCTGTTCCCAAGGAAATGGATGCAAAGTCCATCTGTACTGAAAGGGTTAGTTGAGAGTTTAAAACTGCTATTTGCTGGCATAAAGGGACAAAGCCTGCATGACTAATACTGACCCGATGAAGAAAAAAGTGCTCATAAGTGTTGGTCTCCCACCAAAAATAACTAAGTAGACACTGAGAAGAAGCAGCCTGAAATTTCACACCAAGCATTATATAAGTGAAAAGCAATGGAGAATTTTCATTAGTCTGACTATTCTCTTCTTTGTGCCCCCTCTCAGAGGCAGCCCATCTTGATTCTTTTGACTATTTTAGAGCCAGCTGATTGCAAGGGGTCTGGTTTGGAAATCAGCCATTTAAAAAGAGCTGAACAGAGTCACTGGATGTGCTGTACAAGGTGAAATGCAGAGCTGGACATGCTGAAGTAGGGACTAGACAGACAAAAGGGAAAACTCTGCACTAGCCAGGCTACAGAGAGAACTAGATAAGCTATAAAAGATCTTTATAGAGCAACTACTGAAACAGCTGCCCACCCCATGCCTTCCTTGGATGCAGCTACCAACTTAACTGGGGAAATCTGTTTCATACAATAGCAGTTTGTCTGTCGGACAGAACTCTCCCACCGGTGGGAGAGTACACTATGTCCTGTTCTCAGAAAGGTCTCCCTTCCCTGTTCTGTCTTCATTATCCCTGCAACAGCATTTCAATCAGTGTCCGAGTGGTTTGAGAGCTGACCTGAAGCAGCAGGCTTGGGGAGGGATATGCTTCTGCTATGGCTGCTGCCGCAGCAGGGCTGACTCTGTTAAACTGCTGGATTTGTCTCTTCCATGCCTGTCGGAGTCCTGTCCCATCCTTCTCCACTCGCACACCACTGGACCACTTCCCATCAGTGCAGAAGGAGAATAATTCAGTCTCCCGTTGTTTCCTGCAGAAAGCCAGACCCCTCAGAGCAAGGCCTAGGTGTGGCGCATGCAATGACCAATGCTGCATAGTCAGATCATGCCCTGTCCCCAGATTCAGTGAGGGAAAGAAGGGGGCCTTTTGTTTCATCTCTCACTGCTCCAGCAGGACCAGGATTGTTCTTTGCACCACTGGCCTTCTCTTCTGATAACCTGAAAATTGTTTTAATAACCTGAGTCCAGGATGCAAGTCCTTCCCTAAGCAAACATTTTCCAACAGAATCCATCATAGTAGCTGTGCCAACCATGCTCCCAGAGTCGAGTCACAAACCAAACAAAGGAGTGTCACAGGATCATTAGAACGGGGCACTGGAAAGGACTGCAAGAGTTCATCTCTTGGACTGAGGCAGGGTCACATATACCTAGACCAGGGGCAGCAAACTCACCTTCTGTCCCAGGCCAGATCTGGACTGTGGGGCTTCTTTATACCCCAAGATCTCATCCACATCCAGCCCAGGGTATAGGGAGGTTCCCATGGCAGTTGCAGCTCTGGCTCCTGCTCAGGTCATGCAGCAGTAGTAGCAGCAATAGGGGAGCCAGCAGCCAAGGAGCTGGGGCCATGTGAAGGGTGAGAGGTGAGGAAGTCATAGGTTGACTCGAGCTGTATCAGCCCTTGCTCACCGGCCTGACAGCTGCAGATTCTACAGCAGGCTACTTCCCCAAAACTACAACCCCAACTTCTGGTGGTCCACCAGTAGCCCAGCAGGCTGGAGACAGTGGCTCTGCAGACCAGATCCACCCCACTGGCCGTGTTTGACACTCCTGATCTAGACCATTCCTAGAAAACATTTGTCTAATGCCTTTTTAAAATCCTCCCATAAGATTTTATGATATTCTGTATTTGGGATCCAGCAGGGACAGTTTTCAGAGCAAGGGGTTTGGCGATACAAGCTCACTTGTATGGGCGTTTTGCTATTGCTTTAGTCAGTGCGGAGACATGCTGACTGAATTCCTGCCACGTGTCCAGGAATGATACCATAGTGTTAGCCCACAGCTGCAGCACCACCAGCACCTGCAGGAGGAGAACTACAATGACTGAAACATGCAAGACACAAAGCAAATTAGTCCCCTCCTGATTACAAGCCTGACTAGGTCAATCACAGGACAATTTGCAGCCCACACCCCATCTCCAAAGGCACCCAGCCTGCACAGACTTCCAGACAGCTGTGCTCATGTCAGTCACACAGAACTTCAGAGGCTCTTTGCTGGCAGAGCAGAACATGGAAAGGTCTCATCTATTTAGGCACAAGCCCCTCTCCAGAGATGGTACTGGCTTTTTCCTAGACAGAGGAAAGGATGGGCTAACTGCAGTAACTCATGTATATGGAATACAGCAGAAAAGCTCACTCATGCCTTCTTAGCTCCCAGTAAGCCAGCCAGTCATTCCCTTTTGGGGAATTCTCAGGAAAGACTGGAATTCAGTTAGAGACAGATGAGTGGTTTAGACTCCAAATATGACCTATTTTCAGACTGCTGATGTAGTAAGGATCTCAGTTAAGAATGTATTTGGTCACCAAGACACTTTAAAAATGCTTCAGTGGCCATTTCTTTAGAGCACACCAACAAAGTGGGTGTCAGGGTTACCTTCTGGTTGTGCAGCGGGGGGAGGGGGCACACGCTCACAAGTGGTGACCACAATAAGGGTGCCTAGATTTTGTTGTGGGCCACTAGGCAATAGTGCAAGCCCCATTCACGTTTCTACCTGGTTCTTCCATTAGTTCCTCTCAATTATGTTTTCTATGTCAGTTCCCTCAATAAAAGGACACAAGCACAGACCACTAAAGCAGGAGCCATCAAAAAGTCAACATCTGCCAACAGCTACCACAAACATCTCTGAAAATGTAGGTGAAAAACTTTGGTTGTATGATATACATGAACAATCACTGTTGATGATAATTTTTCATGGCAACCACCATAAGCAAGAGACCAGTGCTGACTCCCATCAGTTTGGAATATATCCAGGGAATGATGTCAATGTAAAGTATATCAAAAGAACAAAAGGAAGAAGCAAAGAAATTATACTTTTCAGCTTTCAGAAGCGCACACACGTGCATGCATACAAGTGCACACAGTAAAAGGCTAAGGCAGGATGCTACAGGGTGCCACATAATATTGCCACCACTAGGTGTGCAAACTCCTTCATATGATTCACAAGATAAACCCAGATATTTCAAATAGGAATTCAGTTTCAAAACTATTCTGCCCTGCTATGAACTTGCCAAGTTCTTTGCAATAGAAAATGGTTCTATTATTTTTCTGTAGTTCAAAAGTGAGTGAAAATTCAAAGCTGGCATTTTGCACAGGGGGGGTAGAAGAGGGGCCTTGAGTCTAAAAATTTTGAGAACGGTTGACTTAAGGAATAACATGACAGCATCCTTAATACGTTTTGGGTGGTTCAGAGCTGCTGACATACATCAGCATGATACCCGTGTTGAGGAAAAGCCCCAATGTAGAGGTGAGAGCAGAGTGGTTTTCTTGCAGGCTACACCAAAGTGCCTCGGAGATGCATCCCAGGAGGTGAGCAGAAAATGGAGCTTTCAGAACTTGGACTTATGATCCTGCTAGTACCAAACGACCCTGAGATGATGGCCTTGAGAAAACCTGTCTATTTTGGTACCAAGCTGAGACTGACAATGACTTCAAACAGGCTATTGGGGGTCAGGGGTATCCAGGCCACTTTCAAGTTGGGAAAGATTCTACCAACCTTGGCTACATCTGAACCAGCATATCATCACACAACTCCAAACTCCCTCTGCCTGGCAGCAAGTGTCACCATCCCCCACTTCCCTTTTTCCCAGGGCAGCGAAATAGGCAGACATTCTGTACTACACAAGATGATACCATGTGAGTCAGGTCAGCATATAACATTCCCAAGGGGTCACCAACAGGAACTTTCTCTTCCCACAGCTAGAACATCTATGACCATAAGCAACATTAGTGTTTGAAGCCTGTTAGTTTCACCTCCTCTATCTCCTGCTTTGTCATTGACAGCTCTGGGCAAGGCTGGAATCTGGGATCCTCCTGCTGACCCTGTTCTCCAGAGCACAGTGCCTGCTGCCTGTCCCAACCCCGATTGTACCTAGGGAGAAATGACACATGGTTCATATTCCCCAGCAATTCTTCCCTTAAGAACAGTCAGTACAGCCACAGACTACTGGCAGGACAGGCTATATCCTTCCATATTTGCCAGCTCCCTCCCCTACTAGAGGCTGGAGATGGAGGTGGCTACTAAGTTTGATCCATGCCACCTGCTCACCTGCTGCAAGTAGGCAAAATCTCCAGGCAACTTTGTACATCTGACACTGCCAGTATAACACTACGCTTCCATTGCTAGCCCCCTGGACCTTGCACAGAGCTGGGCTGAAGAACCACAATTTGGGAAAAAAGCCCCAGCTCCTGTTGCTGCTTCTGCAAAGGATGACAGCCACAAAAATTCAATGTGCTTTTATTACAGACAAGGCTGCAGCTGGCTAAAAATGACCACCACTTGGGCTGTGTGTGGCTATATGAACAGCCCATTATTTATGCTCCCTCCAGATCAGCAGTAACATGGGAGTAAGAGAAGAGCTTGACCCACTGAGTCACAGGGGACAGCAACAAGGGTGATGTTGTCGTGAGGGTCTGCTATAGACCACCAGACCAAGAGGATGTGGTGGACGAGGTTTTCTTCAAACAGCTAGCAGAAGTTTCCCGATAACTCCTGGTTCTCATGGGGGACTTTAATCACCCTGACATCTCCTGGGAGAGTAATACAACAGTGCACAGGCAATCTAAGAACTTTTTTGGAGAGTGCTGAGGACAACTTCTGGTGCAAGGGTTGGAGAGGCCAACAAGAAGCCATGCTCTTCTTCACCTGCTGCTCACAACTAGGGAAGAATTGGTGGGGAATGTAGTAGTGGATAGCAACTTGGGCAGCAGTGACCATGAGATGATTGAGTTCAGGATCCTGAGGAAAGGAAGGAGAGCAGCAGAGTAAAGACCTTGGATTTCAGAAAAGCAAACTATGACTCACTTTGGGAACTGATGGGCAGGATTCCCTGGGAGATGCATCTGAGGGGGAAAGGAGTCCAGGAGAGTTGGTTGTATCTTAAAGAAACCTTACTGATGGTGCAAGAAGGAACCAACCTGATGCACAGGAAGACTAGCAAGTATGGCAGAAGACCAGCTTGACTTAGCAGGGAACCAGTCAACTAAAACGCAAAAAGTAAGCTTACAAGGAGTGGAAACTTGGACAAACAACTAGGGAGGAGTCTAAGAGTATTGGTTCAGGCATGCAGGGATGAAATCAGGAAGGCCAAAGCCCAACTGGAGTTGCAGCTGGCAAGGGACATGGAGGGTAACAAGAAGGGTTTCTACAAGTATGTCAGCAACAAGAAGAGGATCAGCAACAAGAAGCTGCTCCTGTGGCTGCTCCTGCCGGGATGAGGTGGGCAGTGCTGGGGCTGCGCCGGGCCGCTGTGGGAGAAGCCGCTGCTTGTTCTGCTGCTCCCCCTGAGGCAAGGTGAGG